GCCTTGTGTGGATTACTTTTTTCATTTTTTTTCCTTGGCCACCTGCCATACCAGATCTGGCATGGTCTGCATGGCAGAGTGTAATTCTTTGTCAGGAAGCTCACAGAGCAGGGGCTTCACCATATAGCTGCTCCATGTTCTTGAAGAAATCTTTCCTTCCTATGGACTTTTCCTGTGCTCACCACAGTCCTGACCAAACTCTCAGGGTACCAAAAGCCTTTTCCACTCCCAGTGACCCCCCTGAGTAAAGTCATACTCCTCATAGGGTAATGTAGTTCATCTACTTGTGTTGTTTCCCAGGTCTGCCCTGCCATCGGGACAGCCCGGTGGATGTTGCATGTGTGCTGCTGATTGCTATGCTCAGCCACTTCATTTACAGCCTTAGGAATGTGAGAGGCCCTCAGCAAAATGTCAGAGATAAGAAAATGTTTGAAAATTCTGGAAGGCTATGAGCCTTCATAGTGAAAGTATCCATTAGACTCAGCAGGAGCAGTGAGGGCAAAAAAACTCACCACAGTTGTAATAAACCTCAAGAAGGGGAACCACATAAATAATGAGAACACTTGTTAAAAATGAGCCAGAAGTTGGAACTGATAGAATTAAAGCCTTATGTGCTCGCAGCATGGTGGCTGCAGCCACCCTACTCCTTACAGATGAATTACAGTTGATGTGGGGAAGCCTGGGAACCAGAAGTGCTCCATGACAGCCTCTGGAGGTGCAGGTGTCCTACATAAGGTCACTAAGATGAGCCAAATTTTAACAGCTCTGACAGAACTATGGGGACTGGGAATGAAATTTCAAAGTCAAACAGTCCAGTATGAGGAAATTCCAGAAGTGAGCATGTGTAAGCATGTGATACTGCCCATCCTGAGTGATGCTCAACAAGTCATTTCTATGAGGCATTACAGACATGCTCTCGAAGTACACACTCACTGTTTCTAGGATCTCCAGGATAAGGCCCTAGAGATCTTACTGTTTGAGTGAGATTAGACTCCCAGAGAGTAAGACTCACTAATGAGTGCTCATAGCTGCAACTACAGCCAATGTCAGCTGTATTTGAAACACCAAGACATAAAGTTAAGTACTCTGAAAAGTCAGGTGCTGGACACCTAAATGTGATGGATACTCTTGACATTATTTTTTCAAACTCTCAAAGTCCCATTTATAAAATAGAAAAATGCCCCACAAAACACACAGTGTTATTGTCAGAGTATGTTTTTTAGTCCATACCATGTTGATCAATACCACATAAAAATGCAATAGTGGCTTGATACTGAGTGAGGTGCTGATTTACAAACTGTTGGAGGATGATCTTACATTAAGCATCTTCAGATCTCCTGAAGAATCCAACTAACATTGAAGATTTTTTTACATTAAGATTCCTGGAGTGATTTAGATATGTTGGGGGAAGAAAAGCAAGACAAGTGCTTTTCACTTTTCTCAAGGTTCATTATTCTTTTTGTGCAGAGACTTAAGTTTACTTAACAGTTTCACTAGAGCTAGAAACAGAGGTCAGTGAGGATGGGACTCATCTTTAAGGGCACTTGATGTGACACAGAATTTTCCAGGCATCACCTAAATCCAGCTTTAAAGTTCGTGCTATTAAAGAGCAGTAACCATGTGAGAAGGCTTTCAAAGTGCTGTTGGGAAGGGATGTATAAACACACACCACCCCTGCCAATAACTCCTGACTAACATGTTTGTATCTCAGAGGATAGAGAGCATTCAAAGATAAAAGACTTTCAATTAGACTCTCAGTGGTGAGTTGCAAGAAAAAAAGTTCCAAAGATGGCACAAAAGAAAGCACTAAGGCTGAGACCTAGCAGCGCAGACTGGGAGGCAACTGACTCTGACCAACTTGGAACCCCTGTGGAAGTTTAGAAAGTTCAGCAACAAGCAGCAAAAGGAGACAAGTGCAGCTCTGTCTTGTAGTCATAGCAGTGAGAAGCAGCTAAGTGGCATTCACATCCCAGTGGCATTGACATCCCAGTGGCATTCATAGCTCAGTGATTTTTTTGCTGTAGGGTAGAAACGTGCTGATGCTCAGTTGCATGAAGAGTCCCAGAAGATATAACTGGCCAAAAGGTTTCAGCCCAAGGAAATCATGTGCACCATGCCTGGGAGAACACACCAGCCATCACTTGGGGAAAAACTGCTTCTCAGATGATATCACAGTTAATCTTTATTGCCTGTTGTTTGGAGATAAATAGCTGGTTTTCTCATGAGGAGTGGTGAGTGGCTTTTAGAGCTTTCCTCGGGAAAGGATTTTAGAATTAAAAGCTAAATTGTCTGCCTTTCTCCAGCTGTAGTTTGTAAGCAAGTCAGACTACATTCCCAGGATTTTAAAAACATTTTTTATTTATTTTTAAGAGCTTTTCACTTGCTTTTATAGTAAAAGAACAAAGGATAACATATTACAGGTATATAGACTGAAGTCCTTTAACAAACTACTTAACACATTTGCTTTCTTGCACCACAGCCATCTCTTACTGTTTGAAAAAATGAGTTTCAGCTCATTAGAAGAAAACTCAGAACTTCAGACAAAACAACTGTGAAGATGTTTTAAGACTCCTAACTCTGAAAATTCTTACAAGCAAAGGAACAAATGTAATCCCTATGAATGAATAAAAATTATTTTAAAAATAGCTAACAAACTGTATTGTCTCAAAACATCTTCTGATATAGCTCATTAGCCAAGCATGAGAGCTGGGATATATGTTTTGACTCCTCTAGAAAGGAGAATATAGTAGTTCTCTGATGGGAACTGGCGTTATGGCAATCGGATGTGGAACTACACCAGGAATCTCCCATTTGCTGAAATGCTTCAGTCTCTGGACTAAGGAGAACATTTCTTTAATCCTAGTATTTTCTGAGAGAGTATTTCACTACCTTTGGACTGCTTTCCCAAGGCCCGGGATGAAAAGGGAGCAAAAGGACTAATTGAAAGGTTCTACTTTTGTTGTCCCTTTCTTAAGCAGGAGAACATCTCAATGATAATAGAGGCAGCCAGCTTGCAGGATCCAAAACTGGATCCACTGGGCATTTTCCCAGATAGAAGAGGATAGACTGAGAAGGTGGAATAAGGATCACATGCTACAGGATGGTGTCACGAGGGAAAGCACAAAAGCATTGACACAGGAACAGTCACATTTAACCACAGAAAGAGAGGGCTAGCACATGTGATTGAACTAATGAAACCAGTTCCCTACAGCAAAAGCTAAATAAAACATTTACATAAAGAATACTTCGAGAAAGAAGAAAAGCCTTAAAAGGTGAGAAAGGCAGGAGAAATTGGGAGCAAGTGAAAAGAACAGACTGACTGTGCCCAAGGAAATAGCTGTAGGCTGCAATTAGCTAAATGGTGTAATGACTCCTGCCCTGTGCTTGTGCCGTGGTTCTGAGCTGCTCGCTGGTTTACTGCTGCTTCTACTGGCAGGAGTGCTGAATCATACCAGCTGTACTCTGGACTGCCAACAGGAATTTCCTTTAGCTTTTGGGGCTGAAGCTATATTTTAAAATGAAAACTGCTATCTTTTATTTCTGGAATAAGAGCAGCAGATAACTATAGCAAAGTCACGGATTTATAGCAGTGCTCTATGCGCGGGGATCAATCTTTCAGTCAGGATTTGCTCTCCTCTCCACAACAACTCCTTGCTCCCTTGAGTATGTTCACTGTAGGAAAGATAAGCCAGGAGAAGGCAGTTCTTAAGCAGTGAGACTGATCAAGCTGAAGGCAATGATTAAAAATGCCACCTCCTCTTATGAATATTGCATAGCTGCAACAAATCTCGCTCCTTGCCTCCAAACAAAACAAAAGCCCTTCTTTAATAGAAGGTCAGGAGGGAAACTTGGTGCCTTCCCTGAGCATCTAAGTAGTTATGAGACCCTCACCACTCACCAGCATTCAGAGTGCCAGAGACCAGGAGACACAAATCAATAGGGTTAAGTAGATTCACTCTCTGCTTGCCTGCATACACACAGCCTAACCTTCCCCTGCTTCTCCACCTGCTCTGCTGTTATCTCTCCCTGGGGAACCACCATTTGCCTGCCTGGCCAGGCAAGCTCCAGACCATAAAGTTGCCAAGGGGTGAAGAGATAAGCCATCCTGCTGATGGGGATGTGTGTGAATAGAGACTTGCCCCATGCTAAATAAAGGGAAGAGGGAGCAACTAATGCAGTACTGTCTTCTGCTTGATGAGACAGGACTACTGGTACTGTCTGGTGACAGATCATAATGATTCTGTCTTCTTAACCAGCAGCAAGCATGTCCTGGGGAGAAAATACCTCATGTAAGTAAGTATGGGCATGGGGACAGTGCAAGTGTCACACATGGATATCCCATTAACGGAAAGGAAACACCATGTCATTTGGAGTGCTGCTTCTTTGGAATTGCAAACACAAAGGAATGAACAGTAGGATAAATTCACTTGGCTATTGATTTCAGACACACACATTTTCATTTAACATTATTAGAACAGCCAGTGTCTCCTGGCTCATAGCTTGTGGGCAGTACAGCAAAGACAACATTTGCAAGCCCTTTTGCCCATTTGCTGATGAGGTGAACCTTAAGAGCAGATTCCTTATGGTGAACCCCGGGAAAGGATCTCCTACAGAAAAATAGCCTAATGTCTGGACTGGCAACTCTAATGCTCTTCTCTACAGATATACCCTCAGCACATAACTGGTGGTCTAAACAACATGGGGACATACCCATGGAAATCCTATAAAGCTGTCAGGGAGTGAAAGAAGAAAACAGAATAGGCTTGATGCAGTTATGTCTGGACAAACATGTACACCCATGTACACAGCATCTCAGCTAACCGTGGGAAAAGTTAGCCATGGGAAGAGTTCAAATACAAGCTCCCTGCATCTCCACAAATATGAAAATCTACAACAGGGGAAGAAGACTGAATATGGTACAGGGAGGCACCAAGACATGTTTCAGTAGTTTCATCACATAGAGCATGAGGTCTGTTCAAGGTCCCAAATAACTCCTTTGTCAGATTAATCTGCAAAAGGCTTTCTCACAACCAGCTTTTACAAAAACCACCCTTCCCATGAGCAGATGGATGTAAGGACCGAAAATAAGTGTCAAAGGTGATGAAGAGCATGCTGGGATCTGTGGAGTCACTAGGTGACACCAGTAGAGATGCTGGTGTCTTAGATGATCCCAAACTGGGCCAGCTCGTGCAGTTCCAGATGGCTGAAAGCTTCCCATGGGCAAATCACTGTGATATCTGCAAAAGAGACAGAACGAGAAATGGGTTCTGGTCACTGCACTTCCTGGGTTTCTTTTGCATTAATGGAAAGGCTGATGTACTCAGGAAACTTTAAGAGGAATGAGACTCCACATGAAGATTGAACAAGCACACGAGGTCTTCAGAACTGGTACTGCCTACCAGACCAAAACAGATCAGTATATCTTTTCCTGTGCCATCTTTCTTGGTGAGCAAAAGCAAACCAGCATTTCCTATAGTCTCTTCAGTGACTGTGTTAACTGGTGTAAAAATTCATTCTGTTTATGTTGTTCCTCCTGTTCTTAAAAACTACCTGAAGCCAAACAGTGATCTCCTTGAAGACATGTGCAATCTTAAATCAGATACTGAATAAACTGGTCTACAACATTCAGAATCTGTAACTCTTTGATAGGTGCAGTTGTTGCTGATACCTATGAAGTTCTGACTAGCTACAGCTCATCCAGTGTGTGTTTCTCCACCCCAGATGGGTGCATAAAATTCTTAAAATTAGGATTCTGGTGATAACAAAAACACTTAACCAGCTGGAATTTAGTTCCTGTGAGTTTTGGTATTAATAGCTTAGCATTTGGCATTTCTTTGAGAACTTTATTCTGCTGAAATTCTTAGCCAGAGCATTATCAGAAAACAAACAAGCACATTTGCAGCTGTTGTGGTGAGCAGAGCCCACCCTAGGCAGGGATCGGCGTGCGAAAGATCTCGCGATGTAACGGAAAGCTCAGACTGCCCACGAGGGGCCTTGTGGGCGTGGCTTGTGCTATATAAGCAATTGCAGCTGCGCAATAAACGCCATTTGCAGCATCCTTCACATTGAAGCCTGTGTCTGTGATGGTACCCAACGGCAGAGGTTGGGTGGCAGAGATCCCGGGGATCGGATATCAGTAACGACATGCAGCCAAGGGAAAGTACTCAGAAACTGAAGCATGCCTAAATATCCTTTCTGTCTTGTAGTGTATGTAAGCATAAGCATGACTGTGTCAGCTTGCAGAGGGAGTATTAGCTTCTGCTGGTGACCTCGAGAGCTGCAGAGAGGCCAGGGAGACAGAGAAGCCACCCCAGAGGGTCCTCTCCCATGGTACAGCATGACTGCACTTGTGTTAAAGCAGGGTATGACAACAACATCCCACAGGGCTTACCTGTGCCCAGCCCCTCCATGCCTGGAATGTCATCTCCAAACCTAGGGGAGAAAAGAGCAAGTGAGGGATGAAATTGGGACAGAAACACCCAGGAAAGGGGAGCTGCCCTGCATCCCCATCCAGGGAAGGAGAATTGTGGGTGAGCAGCAGACTAAGAGGAGCAGCTCCAGGTGGGACAGCTGACAGCACCAGGGGGTAGGGGGAAGCCTCCTGGCTCCTTGCCCAGGGGAAGATGGTACCACAGAAGCCCAGCTAGGCAGTAAGGAGCCATACAGCTAGCTTGGTTTCTTTTCTTTGCAAAATGCCCTTACCCTTTTACTCCTTTTTTAGGGGGCTTGCTTTTGAACTGCCTTGTCTGTCTCTGCTTGAACTTGGGAGGCCCCTTGCGTGGTGTAGTAGGACCAGTTGGAGCATCTCCAGCGTTGAGGTTGGCAGGTGGGTTCTCACTCATTGCTGGGCTGCTGTGTGTGGCAGGCACCCACCTCTCTCAGATCCCTCTGTCTGCAAGATAACAGCAAGGACTGATGCAACACTCTGCTTATCATTTCTAGGTATCAGTAGTCAGGTGACAAATACTGAAAACACAATCGTTACAGGATTAAAGGTAAAGATATCAAACATAAAGAAAGACTGTAATGCATACAAAGCAAGCAGGATAGCATTGCCTTTCATCTGGCATGCTAGAATTAAAATGCCAAAGGACATGAGCTAAGGACAACATGACACTTAACTCCACAGTGCAGAGATTTGCAGAGTCATGGAAAGTCACCTCTACTTTTGTCTCAGACATAGCTGGACTCTGGGAGACAGGTTATTGCAGTGGCTTGCTCTTCAGTTTCAGTAAAATAGGAAGGTTAGTGCATGCCAATCTTGTTTGTTTTCTAGTTAGCCTTGGAACATCAGTGCTGATGCTTTTACTTTCTGTTTCAGGACATGACTGTTAGGAGCCACAGAGACACTTATGGCTTAGAGAAATATCCTGTTCCTGGGAATCATCATGATACACTTCACCTGTTCTTATACATTGCCTTAACATTACCTTTTGGACACTGATGGAGACGGGATGCTGAGCTAGATGGGCCCTTAGTGTGGGTGGACCTGCAATTAGGACCTGATGTCTGTCAATAACAAATTTTCAGGAAATAGCACAGGATCCTTGAAAGATTGGAAAGAAGGCTAAGGCAAAGCATTAGCATTTACCTTTTAAACAGAAATTAATTTCTCAGGATTTAGGAGAGTAAAGCCTGTAACTTTCTCCAGGATAGGTCCATTTGGGTATTTTTGAGCACTATATTACATGCACTGACCTCTCCTGTGTCACACTGCACATGAGCCAGTTCCACTTCACAGGGAGCAATTCTTTTGTGGCAGGCATCTCTTCTACCTTAGAGGGCAGAACTGCTGCACTCAGAGTCCTTTGCTTTCTTCCCAGAGCACAGCAATAGCTCTCACCAGTGCCGAAGGGGAAGCTTCCAGCCCTTCACGAAATTTTGTGCCAATGAGTATGCTAGAACGCTCTGAGAAAGTGCATTTATGGACAAAAAGAACTGCCATTTTTTACTCCCCTCCTTGAAGTCACTTTATTCCCTATGACCATTAGATAACTCCTATCTCCAGGTGTTCATCCCTGTGCAGCCAAGCTGATGGAATTAGCTTCAGGATTTGGTGCTAAAGGCTAATCCCATTATGTCACCATAGTGCTTTGGACTAATCCCCAACATCACCTGCCGTGACACTGGTCTTTTAATCTCAGAACTATGAGTGTTATCAAAGATGGTTTTTTGTTTGCTTTTTACTTAGTCTGAAGATAGCTCTTGTCTTCGATAGATAGTCCTGAAATAGCCAGAGAGCCAGAAAGTAAAGCCTGAGGTGCAAGGAGAAAGACCATCCAAGCAATCCTCCTGTGTCACTTCCACATCTGGGCAAGGCAAAGAGATGTGTATCAGTAGCATGGCAGGTCTGGAAATACTTCACTCCTGACATCTTTTCATCTGTGCTATCACTAGGGTGGATCCTAACGATGGCACCTCGAGGCACGCTCCCCGGCCGCCGGCGGCCGGGCTCCTGTCTCAGCTGTGATATCCTGAGCAGGAGGCTGGATGGGTTCCAGCAGCCCCAAACGGAGCAGCAGATGGTTGTGTCTGCAGCTGAAGTATGCACAGATGCTGTTCCTATGCCTGTAACACAACGCTTCCAAAGCACACATCGTGCCCACAAACACAGAGAGCAGCTCAGATCAGAGAAGTTACATGTTTGGCTGCCATACCTGCAGCACCTGAACAACTGCCCAGTATTTACAGCATTATCCTCACAGCATGGTGGCAGGACAGGCAAACAGTCACCTTCATCCTTTACAGGATGTGAACGGAGGCACAACAATTGATATGACCTAGACTGCACTGCTGGGAGGAGTGAAAAATTTTTAATTCATAGTTTTTCAGGGCCAAACTGGGAGGAGAAGGCAGTTTGGCTTCAAACCAAAGCGAGAATTCAGTGCCTCATTGTCACTTGGGAGCAGTGAGGAATTCAGATGGAATTCCTAGAACAGAACACTTTTAATTGGAAAACTGCTCCATGGCATGCCTGCTAATGCCCCAAAGTGTATATTTGTCTGTCTCAGGTGTAGTTCTCATCAGTAGGATGTCTGTCTCAATGCTAGGTACCACTTCTGAACTACAAGAGACACACAGTCACTTCTAAGCATCATGTTCACCTGACTTGCCAAGATACTTGGCACCCCTCTTCACGGGCTGCTCCCAAGAGTACAACAGAAGAAACAAACTGGGTATCAGATTTCCAACCCTGTGAACTAGCATCCAAAACTTGTAAGATGCATTTGAACTCCATCTCCAGGTGAGTTCTCACCCTGCTTCACCAACCCTTGCTGTTTGCCAGCATGGTACCTTAACCACAAAAACATCTTTGAAGGTCAGTTCCTCTTAGTTCCTTGAGACCATGCTTTGCCCGTGGTCTTCACTCAATAGAGAAATAGCTAAAGGGAGGCTCAGTCCTTGGCATTTCCTTTTCCTCCCATCTGAAGTAGTTGTATACACCTACCAGCTACTCAATAACCCAGAATTTGGTAGGAAGAAGGATCTGCCCAAATCACACTTCACCCTCTCTCTCACCTGCATGAATTCAAGAAAGATCACTCAAAGAAACTAAAAGGGACAGTTGTAAAACAACCTTAATGCCACACAACAGCCTCCTTTTTTGCACCAGGAATCAAGCTGCTCTCCCATCACTGACCTGGTGGGATTCATGATCACACACAGGCAAAGATGTCTCTTCATGCTTGAGAGGGCACTGCCTCACAGCACAGGAGCTGCCCCAGCTCCCACACCTCAGGAACCAGTCTGCCCTTGCACACAGCCACACATGGGTGGGCAAGAATCCCAGGATCACAGATGTAAAAGAAATATCCACAGCAGCTTCCCAGAGAAATTTCCCAGCCTTTTGTCCCTCCATACCTGGGTATTTGGATAGTCCTTGGTGCCACACCAAACAGATGGCTTCACGAACGTTTGACAAGACTGAGTTTCCTTCTCTAGGTCTCTGCAAGTGCTATACTATCTCCTGCCAATGCCTCTTGGAATGCCAGAGCTCTTCTGCTGCCACTAGTACCGGGATGCAGAGCCTGGGTGAGAGCCAATGGCTGTGGATGCAAAGGCTGTTGATGAACAAGACGTTCTTCATGCACTTCCTCTCCCCCTTTTCTGGCCAGGTGTTACCTAATTGCCCCCGACAGCATTTCTTCTCAGTCCAGGGTTTAATCTTCTGGGTAAGAGCTTTGCCTTCCTCCAGATACTAATTATACCTAATACACAGTAATGGGCTTATCTCAGCTGCGTCAGATGTCCCACGCTTGGATTGCTGGCCAAGTTAATCATCTATGTTTTAGTTTTTGTTGAACTTAAAGGGCCTTGAATACTACAGACAAATGCTGACTCTTTAATCTGCCTTCTGCTTAATCTCTGATTCCCTGTGGAAAATTTCCCTGACAGATAATGCAGATACCTCACTTGTCCTTCTTGAGATGGATTCAGTGTAGCAACTTATCTTTATCTATCTGAAACCTTAAAAAACACAGGGTCCTCCACATGCACTTGTCTTCACAGTGCCTCAGGAGTGTCAGACAGAACCCCCATGAGCTGTAGCCCTCTATGCAGGGATATCATGGGAAGCAGACATCAACCAGAAGGAAATACCCTTGTCTTCACACTCCTTTTGACGGGGTTCTTGCGCGCTCAGCTCTTGACCTCATGAGAGCCACGAGCACCATCCTTGCATCCAGGCTTTTGTTTGGGCACATTGTATCCATTGTAGGATGCCTGTGAGGAGTCTCACAGATGGAAAAAGTCCACGCAGGTTCAGCCCTTCCTGATTCTTTGTTTTACACAGGATCTCAGACCCTTTGTTCTAGCAGCAGTTTTAAGACCAAGAACTGATGAAAAAGGATGCACTCTAGAAGGCAGAAACTCATATCAAGTAGAACTGCTTCCCAGATGGGAACAACTGGGAAGGCTATCCCAGGTGAAGGAAGGGGTTTGGTAACACCAGAAGTACAGTATCACAGGGTGTAAACTCCCCATGGACGTGCCCTGCACGTACAGCTGCGCACCAGGGCAGGGAACACCAGCTGCCCATCCTGACCGCCCTCAGGAGCCCCTGCAGCATCGCTTGCACACAGGCTCACCCAAAGACACAAGCCAAAGGGGTGCCAGGGAGCCCCGACCGAGGGGTACCCAGAGTGAGAAGCTGAGCAGCCCCATGGAGAGCAGAGCTGCTCGTACAGCCAGGGAGCTTTGAGACAAACCATTGCTGCAGGACTTGCTCTAATGTTAGAGGAACCAGAAAACGACCACCCAAGAACCACAACTCCTTCTCTTAGCTACTGGATCTGTCTATGCTCCCCAAGCACAAACATCAGAAAAGTTTTCCTCCATGGTTTTTTTATCAGGACTTTTCTCTAAGCTTTGTAGCCAGTTCCTCTTTCATCCCTCTGCCACCCCTCGACATTGCTTTGAAATCCTGGGAAATACTTACAGTGCCAAGGGCTCCTCTTGCAAGTCATTCAACTCCAGTCCTCCAGCCTAAAGCTTCTCCAGGTGTCCTTCCTCCTCTAGATATACCCTGCCACCAGGTGACATCAGGGCATCAGTCGTGGGCGGGTCCCACATGCCTACACATGAGGGGAAGGGAGGAGTTGGTCCTAATCACTCCAGGTCCCTCCCCTGTGCTGGTGAATGCACGGAGAGACTTCCAGCAGACTTCTCAGTGGTGCTGCAGGGGTCAAGAAGCAGCTTGCAGAACGGTGCCCACAGTCAGCTTGGTGCGGAGAGAGCTGGACCCGCTCAATGGAGTCACAGGGAACACTGCGGAGATTCTGCCCAGGGCCTCAGTGAATATTTAATTGCATCCAGCAGATGGGATGGCAGAGGTAGAAGGGGGAACCTTTGTGACCAGTCCCCTGCTGCTCTGGTGCTGAGCAAGAGCTCCACAGCTGAGGCCTCAGGCCTTTCAGGTGGTTGAAGTTAGAGGAGACAAATCCTTTAGCGAGACTCTTAGCTTACATTTTAAAAAATCATAAGGCCCTAGCCCTTGAGTGAGCACAAAGAAGCTGGGAAGTAAATCCTAGATGCAGCAAAGGGACTTTCAATCCAGCAGAGAAGGAACAAACACAGCATTCCCACAAGTTTGAGGACCATCACACACCTTTCAGAGGCTTGTGTGATAACTTCTGGACACAGGAAAGATGGGAGCAGCATTGTCTTGGCATCACCTTTTCCTTGTGATAGCTACAGCTTGTATACAAATGTGTGAAGATTGGCTGTGCTTAGCAGCTCCTGACAGCAGAAATGATTACTGTGGGCAGGGACCTGCTTGTGTGGATATAAAGAGGTGCAGCCTGCTAGCAGCAGACTCTGCTGCTCATTCCCATGCCTCCATCTGCTGCAGGCAGGTTTCCGGGGGCTCCACCTCCCCTTCTGCCTTCTCCTATGTAGGTAGAGTAGCTGTGGAAATCAGCTCTCCAGCTTTCCACTCCTCTTTTCTGAACCTTAAAAATGTAAATATTTTCAAGCTGTTTGTTTTCAAAACACCCTCTTTATTTTCCTGTTTTCCCAGTGCAATCTGGCTCATATCTCTTTAACAAAAGTGGCCACGTGGGGAAAAAAACCTTCCATGGTGTCATGTGAAGCTATTTTTTGGCCGCTGACAAAATATGGCAGAAATTCCCTAAAGGGCCCCACTTATCATGTTCTTTCTCTCCTCCCTCTCCCTCACAATGTGGGTGGCATTTGCTTTGCAGGGATGCAGATGTGCAGCTCCTTTGCAGAGCAACAGGTGCCAGTTTTGTGTTGGTGCCTGGCTGCCACCCCGGATGGATGTCAAGTTCTGCCCAGGGATGGAGTACCCAGTCCCTGTCCCTCCCTGCTCTTGCCCAGGCTCTTCCTTCCCTAGCCCCAGGAAAGCCAGAGCTGGCCTTTCAGGGCACGTCAGTTGCCACCTGATGCTGACCAGAGCTGTGCCCCAAGGCTTGGGGGTCCAGGCAGCAGCAGGAGTGCAGTCCCTGTGGCCTCAAAGGAAAAGCCATGAGCTTGGTTACCTTTGGCCAGATTCTTCCCTGTTCTAAGGAATCACTTAAAAACATCTCCAAGGTTTCTGACCCTATTTATGAGCTGCTGTAGCCATGGTAACTGCAGTTATAGCAGAAATAGCTCACTTGAATGTCTTTGAAAACACAAGTTTACAAGACAGTGACTTTTCCAGGGACTGGCTGAGCTCATGGGACTGTGTGAGGAAATCCCAGCCGAGGCACAGACTTGGGCAGGCAGTGGGTGAGGGCTGAGGCTGGCATGGGCCACAATAACTCTTTGAAACGTATCTCTACAGGCTTGTGCCAGGTGCTTGGGAGACATTGTGCCTCATTGATAGAGCTTTATCACTTGGCAGAAAGACGTACCTGACTGGGAGGGAGCAGGGAATTTTGCAGACATCTGCGGTTAAACCTTCACTTCCTTCCTGCAGACAGGCAGCCTACCAAGTGCCTCTGAATCCCTGGCGAGAGAAGGAGAGTCATAGGACCTGGATCTGGAATGAACTTGTCTGTTGGTCTTGTGGAAGGTCAGTGAGGTTGTCATGTCAACAGCATTTTGGTGAGAAACTCAGTGTAACTAGGTGCCTGCAAAAGAAGATCTGCATGTTGTAACCCTCCTTGCCCAATGTCCATCATGTTCCTAAGCTGTCTGTCATTTGTGCTAGTGGAAAAAGAGAAACAGATAGAGAGGATTTGGCTTTGCCTGGAACAGATATTTACCTGTTTCAATACATGCAAATCAGTCTATCACAGATGCAGAAAAGGCAGCATCCTCGTGGAGTTTTATCACTCTTCTTTAGGATATCATGCACCACTCTTCTGCTGTCAGGACTAGGCATCTATAACAGCCTGCCATATACTGGGTGTGCTGACTTTGGGATTCTATGCCTGTTGCCATATACAACAGTTGAGTGATTCCGAGCTCAGCCTGCAAAACAGCCTGATCTTGATTCTTATTTCCACTCGTGCCCTGGAGCCTTCTCTGGCAGCGGGGCAGAGATTAAAGAGGCTGAGATCTGTTTTTTCCACACCCAGGGCTCTAGAGAGAGATATCCATGGTCAATCTGGAGAAAAGGGTCCTTTGAGGAAGCATAAATCACACTGTAAGGTTTAGCTGTGGCCCTGTCTGTGCTAGAAACTACGTGGCACTGGGAACATAACTAAGTCTGCAAGCCAAATGGCTATTGCCGAGGCTTCTTCAGGAAAAATGAAGTCCCTGCTTTTCTCATTCAGTTAAGAATGCTTGATTTGTGCATGTCAGAACATCAGTACAGGCCCCAGGCTTTCAGGCACCTATGCGTTAGCACATTTCTTGTGGCAGATGATAAAGGACCCGTGTAGCTGTCACACCTCATTAGCTGACAGAGAGTTACATTTCCTTCTGAGCAGTGACTGTGGCCTTCCTTGGAACAGACAACCAGGTCTTACCATCTAATACAAGACTACACTGGTATGATTTTATTAACTTACACAAACTTCTCTCTGATTGGCATAAATAAAAGGAAAACCAGAACAAGTCCCCTCTTTCTTTTAGATCACAATTTTCACACACAAATCTCAAAACACAGAGCTAATTTTCATCATCCTCATTTGTAAATACGGAAGCTGATAGACCTGCAGATGAGAGTCAGCCATCCAGACATCTGCTGTGGGGACTGATGTGCTTGGCCATGCCGCACAAAAGCCTCAGGACTTTACAACTGTTGGATGATTCGTTGTTTAAGAGCATCCCCCTGCTTATTGCAGAGCTGTCCCATGAGAAAACAGTAACATTAGGGAGCATCCTTTCCATGCACCAACTTTGCTTAATGTCTGCATCCAGGCTGTTAGCAGTGCTGCAGTGGGATTGAGTTTGTCAGATCATTTTAAAAAGCTTCTTCTCCTTCTCATTTTCATTCTGCCCACAATTAAAATATCTGCTTTCTCTTTTATAAGATTATTTTTCTCCTCAATGCCATTTACAGAACAAGCTCAACACTAATATAGTAAACCATGACCTAACCTTTTTTCCTTTTTTTTTGCTCAAACCCAAGTAGTTAATCTTGTTTTCTATGTGAATGCCAGCAGGAAGAGCATGTGGTTGCTCTTAAAAATGTACCCGAATAACAGTTTGTACAGTATTGTCTCAAGGGTTTTCCTGAGATCTTTTTCAATAATTTCTGTATGAATTACATGCCATGTAGCTGTGAACAGTGATTAAATGATCCACTAGCACTTACTAAAATTGATCACACATTGACTGAAACAGAGAAGCAATACTGCCTTGTTTAAAAAGAAGAAAAAAAAAAAAAAAAGACACACGAAGAGACTGCAAGAGAGTGTTTTATTTATTTTAAATGGAAACAAGATAATTCCAGAGAATTATTTGGTTTAAAACAGTGAAGCAAATGATTCAGTATCACTGGGCTAAGAACAAGAAACTGTATACAAGTCAGCTCCAGATGTCTTCTTTCCTGACAGCTTCTTTTCTCATTTTTTTTTCTGAATGATCAATTCTTTCTCCTTGGCAACCAGCAGCCCATTAAAGGAAGGCTCTTCTAAAACATTTTGGTAGAATTTTTCTTTCTTTTTCTTCCTCATCTCTCCACATCTCTTCCCATGGCTTTCACGCCGTGCTACAGACATACTCTTCTTTCCTCCTCCTACCAGATAAAAGCACCGCTGTGCAATCTCATTCACTTCAGCTCTTTGCCACCATTATTACGATTTTTTTCATGCAACAGCTGAGGCTTTCAAAGAGAAATGATTGCTTCTGGGGAGCATCTTGTGCTCTCCTTGGGAACATTCAACTAATGGGCAGAGGAGGCAGCTCTTCCTGCTCCATTATCTCATCTCTTGGGTGGCTGCTTGCCTCCCAGATACATGGATGTTAAATGCTCTAGCTGACATGTGACAGCAGATCCCCAGTGAAAATAACTGTGGAAGGGGAAAAGCCAGGGATGAAAATGTGAATCAAATTAAAAAAAAAAAAAATAAAATTCTCCTTTTGCTGCACAGGTATATTGCTAGGTACTAAACTTTCTATTCTCCACTTGGAATCTTGCAAATGCACAGGGCTTAATGTTTTAATGTGGTTTTGGTTTTGGGTTTTGTTTTTTAATGGTCTTTCACTGGCAGATTCTAACCTTTCCTTCGGTTTACATCCTCTACACTTTTGTTTTCCAGTGGAGATACATACCTCTATAAAGTGAATTAGTCTTTTACTGGGAATCCCCTAAGGACATTTCTGTGCCAAGAACCTGGAACTGCAGCCCACCTCTCAGGTCCAGGCAAGCATCGTAAACACACCATAGACTAAGTGAACTGTTTAGTAGCCATCATTGCATGCTGGGCATGCATATGTTGCACAAAGGCTATTCTGACAATTTCACATACAAAAAAAGGTTTATTTGTGGGGTCCATGGCTGACGGCATACTGTGATTGTAATGGTATAAGTTATTTCTAGAGAAAAATGAAAACAAAGGAAGAGGAGAGAGAGAGAAAACTTTCCC